ATATAATTGGATTTAAATTAGTTACCTTTGGTAGAAGTAACTAAGCACAAAGGGCAATGCAAGGTCGTGAAATTTATCGGGGAAAAAAAATATAAAAAGTAGAAGAGTCAAAACTATGAATATTTTCGCATGCGAAATGCGCAATTTTACAAAGCGTTCGAGAATATGGAATATATTTAATATAAATTGTGGGGAGGGTCGGAATAGGCGGCGCCCACGCGATCCGCTCATCCTTCCTGTGTCATTTGTCAACCAGTCACAACCAATCAGAAGTCGTCCTTCCAGAACGCCACCCTCGACGCGTATTATTTTTTGCCATGTACTTTTCAATATGTTCCTCTTGATTGAATCTTTATCTTTCTCTCTCTATCTTTCCCTTCTCCTTTTCCCGGAAGTCACACAGGAAATGTTAGTTAATCAGACTGAGAGATTTTCTATAGACACGCAAGCCTACTACGTCAATTAAAAAAAAAACAAAAACCATCAAAAAACTTAAATTTTCTTTAATTTCTATATTAAATAATAAATAAAACAATAATAATCAATGTTAGTAAACAAATGTTATAAACACAAAGAAAATTCAAATATTAATGTAAATATTGTTGTTAAAGAATTAATGATGATTTAAATTAATATTTTTTATAACAACAACAAAAACAAAAAATAAATTGACAATTCTGTTCTATTGGCAAAAATAGAAATAAGCTAATAAATTGGATACTGTATAAACTTCAGAGATTAATGCGTTTAGTAAGGTTTTAGATAATTTATATTAGCAAAAATTCAAGTAATTTAGTTACGTTTTTTGTTCGTTTATAATCAAAACAGATATTTTGTAAAATATTTTATGAAATTAATAATAATTTGTTGGTTAAAATATAATCTTTCGTGTCTACGGATTACATTTAATTAATATATTTTATTGACTAAAATATATAACTTTATTTCGAAAATATCAATTAATTTAATTTCATAGTTGGATGTATTTAGTAAGGTAATGTTGGGTTAAGTTATATAAAGTTTCTGTACATACTTCAGGGTGGGCCAACTTCGACTGGCTGATGTAAAAACTTATACTTTTGTAATTGTATTTTTTTTTGTTGATGAAAATGTAATTTCTGATATAAGTATGGAAAATAATACTTACATTTTCACGTATGCACTCTTTCTAATGCATTTCTGGCTCTAAATTTGTTAATTCTTTACAAACATTTTATTTAAGCTCGTTTATTGTTTGTGGTTTATTCAGGTAAACCATTTATTCCCACACAAAAAAATCTGGTGCCGTTAAATCAAGAGAACGGGGAGGAAAAGCGAAATCTGAATTTTTCGTTCCTAAGAACGGCTTATTAAATTTCTAATCATGTTTGCACTGGGAGCTGTTGGAACATTAAAATGCGCACAGTATTTTTTTGTTCGTTGTAACCACGACAGAGAGTCGAACCGAAATTAATTTAGTTCCGGTTTACGGTTACGTTCCAAGTAAATTTTTATCGTTCCAGATTCGGTTCCGGTTCGTCTAAAAATTTCGGTTCAGTACCGGTTGAAATTAAAATTTAAAATCGAAAAAAAGCAATGTAAATTAAATAGAAAATACAGTTTAACACAGATATAAAAACTCACAATCTGAAGTCTAAAGACTGTGTTTTCTATTTATCAAATTTTGCGTTAATTTTGGGACACCCTTTAAACCAAAATACTAGGACCGGCACACTACCTTCAAAGAGCATACATAATTAAAATTTCGTTTCTGCTTCGGTTTCTCAATTCAGCAATTTTTCGTTCCGGTTACAGTTACGGTTCAATTAAAAATTCCGGTTAATTTCTGTTTTCGATCGTCGGGAAATATAATAAAATTCTATAATTTTGACCAGTTCTTGCACTGAGTATGTAGCCATTATATAATTTCTTAAAATTCTCAAAAGTTATAAAAGTTATTAACAAAAGTTAATATTACTTATTAATTAATATTCATAATCATTGTAAATGATATTTCATTACTTAGATAAAATTAGTTCATATATTGTTTAATTAAGCAAAGCAAACTTAATCAATAGCTATTATGTAAACTTCATAATTTTATATGGTTTTAGTGAGGTTCGGTTATAATATTTTGTATTAAATTAGGTTAGGTTAGATAATAATTAGTTAGTTTAAATTGAATTTGAACACTTTACGTTATTTTGAATTGGGGTTAAACTATTAATTACTCATTATCCACAAATATTGAAATTAGTAAAATTGTAATGTACCGTATTAAGTACAATTAAATAAATCTCTTTCCAAAAACAAAAAACTTAATTTCGGTTCCCGAACAGAAGTATATTTTCTCAACAGCTTAAATTAATTTCGATTCTTTCAACCGTATAGAGAAACTGAAGTTATATTTTCATATATTTTATTAGGTAATTTGGACGGATTTCAATGGGAAACTATTCCGCTCAGTGTTATATTCTGTTACAGTTCCAAAACTATTTACTCGTTGCCAGCATTTGGCAGATTGTGAATAATAAATTTATTTATTTTATATGTAATTTAAAGTTTCTATGTATTTTAATCGTTTTTACATACACGTTTAAACATTATCCACTGTTATAAATGTTTAAATAAGAAAATATCTAGGATTATATCGTTTTACATTATTTTTTTATAGCAACATTGTTAACTTTTTCGAACAATTCAATTTTCGATTAAGTTCCAAACCCGAGCTTCCACTTTAAAGCAAAATCACGAACAAGTGAGTAATCACCAGATGCATCCAACAATCAATTACGGAAACAAAAGGCGCTCGTAAACACGTTCACCCACAACGACGTTGAAATATACAAAAGAAAAATAGTTGCGATTTGCCCTGATTTCGTTCCGGCTGTAATAAGTAAATCATACTAAATATGCAACAAAACAACGCACGTATTGTAAATTTATATATGTAATATAAAATGTATTTTCATTTTTACATTTCGAAATAACGACCGTAAAGATAAATTTAAAATGTAAATTTTATGTGAATAAATTGTTGTACATTAGTGTTTTATATATATATGAAATGTAATATTCCCGGCTCGAAATCTAAATTGCATTAGCCGACTAATTATATTGTATTAGCCAGAAAGAGAATAAATAGTTATATTTTTTCTTTTCTTTTTTCATTAAACGTGAATTATTCATGAGACTCGTGCGTTTTTTAGGACTCGACTTAATTAGCTAATATATGGATCATACATATATTTCTGTTTTCTCTTCACATCGATCCGATAATTAAAATCCGTTCCACTTTTGATTTCTTCAAGAATTTCGCGAATAGTTTAAATGTAAGTTAAATATAAAAAAATAAATATTTATATTTTATTGCTGCACTAAATTATTATTAACTTTTATTCCGTGCGAGCGGTCCTTGCATGTGTAATAAAATTAACGCCAAATTCCCCCCCAACATAATTTATTTTTATTGCCTTTCTTTGTTTTTTTGCATATATTTTTTTGCATTTGCAGATACAAATAAAATAATTTCGACCTTATTTTTATTCGAGCTAAAACATTTATTAACAACTCTAGCATTGTTTCTTTGAAATCTTTGATATCATCATGTGTTCTTTTTTTTTAATTATCCTTTTGTTTTACGGGTTATCCATCTAACTGCGATCTTGAAGGCCACTAGCGTGCGCTTAACCGCCGGTTAAATGAAGCGAATTTGCTTAAACATCGTAAATCATGCGAGAAGAAACAACAATAATGATGGTTATTATTATAAGGTGATTTTGAAGGGGTGTAGTGGATTTGGGTCGGCTTTGTACCTCGAGTACATTTGGAATCTCGAGGTCATTTGTTTTCTCCCAACTCCACCACCTAACAACGTAAATAAATAAATAAAATCACTCGCGTGGTGGAAAAAATGTGTCGCGACCGTTTTTTTTTGTAATACGTTTCATTTTTTTTCTTCACGCAGCTGACGGTGAACTTGAGGGCAATAGAAAATCGGCACGCGAATCGCAACGTGGAAATCGTTAAACCGCGATTATGGGCGTAAAACACTTTCCAAGAAGCAAAGAACAGAAAAAAAAGTAAAGTTGACATAAACATTGAACACACCAATAAGCATTGGTGCTTTTTGTTGGATGTGTTAAAACGGTTATAAAGAAACTCGCATACCTACGCGATTTAGCAACGCTGAGTAGAAATTGAGTAGATATTGTTTTAGTCCAGTGCTTTTGAACCTTCATTTTTTATCTCACGGCACAGTTGAACTTATAGTTTAACTTCCACGGCACACTTAAATTATTATGGTTTAATGTTGGTGTAGTACACATTTCTATTTTTTGTGATACACTTAAGAAATTGAAAATCAAAGCTTTTAACGAGATAGTCTGTGGGGTTCTTAAAAGTTGAAAAATCTTTTGAAAAAAATTACGCAACACCATCACTTAAATTATTATGATGTTGGTGTAGTACACATTTCTAATTATTTTTTATGAAACACCTAAGATCATTGAAAATCAAAGCTTTTAACGCGATAGTCTGTGGGATTCTTTAAAGTTGAAAAAACTTTTGAAAACGATTACGCAACACCATTACTTAAATGTATGACTTGTTGCATAATATATTATGAACAAAAATGAGATAAAAACATACAAAAAATAATAATAACATATTTCGAGTTGTATTGAAAAATAAATACTATTTCAGTTCGTCGCTTTGACAAAAGATAACAGCTGTCATTTCGGGACCCATTAAAAATTTAAAAACACGCAATTTTCGTAGCTTGAAAAACACTGTTCTAAAGTATTACAAAACAAAGTTTTTGAAACAATTGAAGTATGACCGAAATCATAGTAAGAAATAAATAAAATTGTTTGATGAACACTAATTTATTTATTAAGATTAGACAATGGTTATATTTTATTTACTTTATAAAAAAAAAAGATATAAAGATACATAAAATAATGAACTGCATTGTATTCTTAATTAATTAAGCTAGTTAATTTAAGGAACAAACCTAACTTCCTATAATTCATATAGTCAAAATATTAAATAAAGAAATAAAATGTATTCTCGACGAATAACGTTGGAAGTTTAATAAAAACAAGTCAATTTATATAAAGAAACAAGTAACAAACATCATAACAATTCCAGTTATTTGCTTTTCTTCTTCGATTTATCTTTTTTAGAAGCATTTTGTTCTGTCTGCTCGTCGACAACTTCTTCGACATTTTTTGTCGATTTCTTCTTCTTTTTCTTGGACAATTTTTCCTCGTCTATTTGCACATTAGTTATGTCTGCTTCCACAACAGAATCATTAATATTTTGTAATTCCATTTTCTTCTTCTTTTTCCTCTCCTTCTTACTCAATTTATCGTCATTAGTTTGCACACAACTTGAATCCTCTACTTCCGAATCTTTTGTACTTTTCGAAAAATCCGTTTCGCTCTGCTCAGTTTGCAGTTTCCTCTTCTTCTTTTCTTTCTTACTCATTTTGTCTTCACTGATGGTTACATCTTCTTCAGTTTGTTTAAAATCTTCATCTTTTTCATTTTCAGCCAACCTTTTCCTTTTTTTCTTCTCTTTCTTACTTAATTTATCGTCACTTATTTTGGCTTTAGATACGTCAGTCTCTTCAACAGAATTCTTATCTTTATTTTTCTTCTCTTTCTTGCTTGCAGTATCTTCGCCAATTTCAACATCATTTACATCTTCTATTTCATTAGCATCAACTGTATCGCAATTATTTTCATTTCCAGTATTTTTTTTCTTTTTCTTCTTATCTTTCTTACTCAATGCTACATTAGTTCCAAATTCCGTTTCATTCTCTACATGTTCAATCTTACGTTTCTTATTGGTATTACTTTCTTGTTCTTCATTTGTATTCTTTTGAATTTGATCTACATTTTCTGGAGGTAACTCAACAGTGCCATTAAGAAATCTCCTCCTATTTCTGCGTTTATCACCGCTGTTAGAGTTGGGGTCATTGGCGTTGGCTGTAGGTTCTCTGGGTTTAAAAAATTCATTGACTTCTCCCTCCTGCACCTTCTCGAAGACGGCGACGAAGAAGCCGCTAGTGCGATCGATGTTGGGCCTGCAGTAGATGCATTTCTCGCCGACCGGGCCAGTACCGAAGTTGATCCAAGATGCGGGCAGAAGATCTCCGGCGTTGACTAATCTGAAATTTGGATTACTCCGGATCACGTCTTGCACCACTTCTTCGTTCTCCTCCGGGTATATAGAGCAAGTTGAGTAAACGACGCGTCGGGCAAGAGGGAAAGCGCGCATCGCATGCTTTAGAATGAGAATCTGGAAGTTGGCCAGCTTACGCAGTCTGGCGGCCAACGCAACATTTCCACCAACCTCTTCTCCGCCGTTCACATGAGACCTAATACCCGACCCCGAGCAACTTGGGTCAACCAATATGTACTCGACGCCGGGAACATCCTCTCCTTTGATGTTGAGCACGTCCTTGCAGATGGTTTTCACGCAGGTCGCACCCGACGACTCCACAATCTTGTCCAGCGTGACTTTTCGCTCCATGCTTCGTTCCACCGCGTAAATAACACCCTCATCTCCAATGGTAGCCGCAATCTGCGTGGTCTTATTGCCCGGTGCGGCGCACATATCCAGAACGGTACTGCCTTTCGGCGCCTCAAGAAGCTTCACCGGAAGACAACTCGCCTTGAATCAAACAATGAACTATTTTGTTTCAATCAAAGTAGAAGACAATCACCTTATCCTGAAGAATAATAAGGTTGTCCCTGTATCCTGCGTGCCGGAAGAATTCGGTGCGCGGCGGAAAAATGAGGACATCCTCCAAATGCAAATCCACCATAAATTCGTACTCCTCAAGATTGCCGATCCTCTCAAGAAATCCTCGGTAATCGGACTTGTCTTCATGATACACCAGAGACCATCCGTCATCGCAGAAATTCCCGATTGCCTCCTGAGTGCTCACCTTCAGCGTGTTAACCCGAACGTACCTCGGAATTTCGACTAAAGGAAACAAAAATCGAAAGAGCGCGAACGTGAATATCTTTTTATTACAATTAAATACATGTTACTAAACTATTTATAATAATAATACGAATGTGAGGGGAATGATGAATGTTGAAATAGAGAAACCTCATCAGTCAGTTTTCTTTTCCTCAAGAGTGTTTATCTCTTTGCCATCGTCGTCATACTCCTGTTCATGGTAGGCCTGGTATGCGTACAAACAAATGATGAAATTCACGCAGATGACGGCCGTGAGCACAGACCACACGGTGTTCGTGAACCCCACGACGCCGTATTCGAATAGAATGTTGCGTACGGCGAAGAACGCGCCAAAAGGTATCGTGAACATTAGCGTGCTGTAGAAAAGCAGCATCAGTACGGCCTTCGAGGCCTGCTTGGTGTGCTCCGGAATGAAAGGTTCATCAGTGGACATCATTTCTGCAAGAGAAAAAAAGAAAAATTACCTTCAGCAACGTCCTCAATTTCTGGCTCAGCGTCATCAGCACAAGCTGCCCTCAGTTTCTGCTCATAGGCCAGTACAGTCTGAATGGGTTTGCTCTCTCCAGGCAGACTCTGTTTTCTCCACACCAGCTCTGTAATCAGAATCCTTGCCAGCCAAGGATCGAACCTGGGCTCCTTCTCTAACAGCTCACTCTCTTTCATCATGCGATCAATCAACTCAAAGCGTTTCATTGTCTCCATAACTAGAGCATAGATCATTTTGAGATTCTACAAACATATTAGATATAATCATCATATTTTTCTTACAAAAATAAATAGTGCATTTTTTTACCTTCTCTTTGGAGCCCAGATCATAGAGGACATTCTTGACGCCCTTTCCATCGAGCTTGGAGGTTTTTAGGATTCTGGCTGCGGCTTTGTACGACCTCGGCACCTTTATAGAGTGCTCCAACATACCTTGTGTTTTAAAGATCCAAAATGCAGGCGAAGTAAAATTTCAAATACAATTAAAACCAATTAAACGGAATAAAAAAAAAACACGGCACGTGCTTTATTATGTGTTCGAGAAATTCTCAACAAAAACTTCCCAATTGAGGTTAAACGAATGCGAGCGCCGCGACACGCTGCACCTTCGAACCACAAAAATAAACAATTATTACAAAACAAAGAGAACAAATTGCAATTCGATATTAAATCAATTACTTATAGTTATATTTATTTAACTAAAAGATTAAATGTTAAAAATATTCTATACATGTTCAAACATTATAAATGTCTGCATACGTATTAGCGTATTTGTTAGTATATTTATATAAAAGTAGCCATAATACAAAAATATCACGGCATAGAACTCCTACAAACTACTGTAGTATAGTAAGTAGTATAATGACAATAACCATGACAACTATTTGTACTTTACTTTTATTGCATAACATTTGTTGGGATGAGCTTATTTTGATTTGAATTGTTGCTGATATATCTAATACAATTTTAAGACGTTTTTGTTACTAGCTAATTCTTGATAGTTTCTGAAAAGTAAAATTATACTCTTGTTATACACATTAAAAAAATTCAATCTTAGACTGGATAGTTCTTGGTCATCATTACTCTAAATGCAATACAGATTAGTGTTAACAAGTATTTACTTAGTGATAACTACACATTTATGAGTGAGTTGACATCATGATACAAATAAATTTATATTTGTATCATGACTTGACATAGCTTTAAATTATTTTGAGACACATCAAAAGTTTGTGGAATTCGAACAAACTGTGAACTACATCAATACACAAAATCTCATAGTTTAAGAACAAAAAAATGCATTCTAAATGAGTTTTATATCACTTATTGTTAACAAAAATTATTTGATTCGTTTCGATGAAAGGCCACTAAATAGATCAAATTAGATTAGTTAGACATTTACCGAATATATAATACTAATCTAAGTTGATTCTAGTTAATCGCATTTAATTTATCTTAAAGTACAGACATCATTCCGTCTACTTCCGTTGTGATGCTTGTTACAATACAGATAAAACAAACATGTTTATATGAATTACTTAATATGCAAACATATGTATATGATAAGTAGCGTATATATTAAGAGGAGCGATCATAATTATCAATGAAAAAATACGGAGATCCTAATTTTAAAAAAAATATCCAGGCAACTTGACCTTCTCATGTGTATGCGCTTTTGCATAACACTAAGATCCTAAAGATTATTAATCATACGGGTCTATTAGCTAAATTGAATTTAGAGCAAAATTTGCAATGAACTTTTTAATAATCGTATAATTAACATTGAATTAATTATCTTTGCATTTATCTCTTTGAATGCTATAATGTATATGATTTAAAATTAGATTTGCTTCTGATTACAATTGGAATAAAAATGATTAATGATAGTATTGGAATATCGAATATCTTGTAATCTTTTCAATTTCTTTAAAGGCCTGAAACCAGTTGATAACGTTCTTTGTTAAATGTATACCGGAAGAACTTAATCTTCGTTGTCCTTATAGGATTCCAAGCACTGACCACAAATTACAATAGTGTGTGTGTGTGTGTGTTTGTATGCATCTATATACAAATATATTTATTTTTGTTAAGTTGGTAAACCTAGTACCCGCTGTGTTGTTTTTGTGGGTGTCAGCCAAGCAAGCGGACTGCGATAACTGGGCAAATAATAACAATCCATCACCTTTTTTTTCCCGATTATCGTGGATGTGTGCAAAAAAAATACGGTGGTGAGGAAAAAAAAATAGTTTTTGTGGGAAGAAAAACGAAAATTAAGAAAGAAAATTTGGGAACCGCAGGTTGCGAACGTGAATGGTCCGCAGGTCCCGATGCACCGGATGGGCCCCAGGACTCCTGGCAGGTAAGATTTCCCAGATAATTTCCCTTTGCATGTACCCAATTTTTGAAATCCTCTTTTCATTCTGAAGAATTCTGAAAGTTTGTTATGAAAGTCAAGTGATTAAAGGGTGGTTATTTTCTTTATCAGTCTAGGAGTTCCAAGTAATTTGTGTTGTTCATGGGTTAAATAATTATCTGAATTTTAATTGAACATTTTGAACAAAAATAATTTTAATCGAGTAATCTTAAATTGTGATGTTTTGATTTTACAAGTGGTTAATTTCTGAATATTAATTATGTGTTATTGGATTAATTACTACTTTGAAGTTGGAAAATTTTCGATATTTTTTTTTAAATTCATTGTATATAAAAATTGTCATTAGATTAGCGTATAAACATGATTGACGTTAGTGCGGTTTTGTGGATGAGCCAGTGGATTTCCCCGAATGAGAGTGAATGTTTTCGCGTATGAATTGCATTTAGATTTCACTGTTCCGTTTATTCATTGGAATAGTGGGGATAGTCATTCGTCAAACGAATTGAACATTTTGGCTGATAAAAGGAAAAATATGACTGACGACAGAGACCAATTTGCAGCGGCCACCAACAGTCGGTGACTATGTAGCTGAAGTCTTTTGGACGATTGCCGGTGACAATTGAGAAGAGAACATGGGCATCCCGGATGAGTACATGTACGATTTCTGGCAGAAGGAGAACATCGAGCAGGTGCAGCTCACGTGCCTTCTGCCGAACTCGCTGGTCATCATCATCGATGCCACCAACAATTCGTGCTTTGCCGATATCAGAGAAGTAGGTATTCTAGTATTTAAGAATTATGGTATTTACTTCAATTTTTTGCTTTTAAGGATCTCTGGTATGAAGCGCAACGATTGCCGCTCTTCGGAGCGCTTCACAACGTCTCCAAGTATCGGTTTACTTACATCAACGATCGGGGTGAGAATGAGGAGATCGTCGACGAGAGCATGCGTCTGGAGGAGGTGCGGCCGATGGGCGCTCTGCTTATGATCAGCGAGGTGCAAGAAGGGCACACCGAAGATAAACTAAATCTTAAGATTGGTCAGCTCATAGGCAAGAGGCTAGACGAATTTGATGCGCTTAGCAGTCCGGAAATCAACGATTTCCGTTTTCAGACGCGTCAGTTGGCCGATTCCATGTCGCACTCGCGCGAACAGAAGACGTGGACAGAACGGCTGCTATACCAGTACCCCGAGAGGATATCCACGACCGCCCTCAACCTGGATAACGTCAAGAACTCTGTGTACATAAGCAAGAATATTTACCTTCTCGGTCGCATCGACGGCCACTCGGAGCACAACTTCAAGATCTGCGTATCAGCGAACACAGACACGGGCGGCGTGCTTGAGATGCTGCTTAAACGCAAGTCCTCTTTCCTGAAGACTAGCGAGAAGCCGAGTGATTACGTGTTAAAAGTCTTAGGCGCCGACGAGTACCTCATCTCCGATCATCCCATAGTGAACTTCGAGTACATACGCGATTGCATCTCCAAGGACGAAATTCCGAAGCTGGTGCTCATCTCCAAAGCGAACGTCATTATGCACAATAACGATTATCAGTACACCTACTTCAACAACACGAAGAAGCCTCCCTACTCGACGCTGACGCTACGTAAGAAGAGCAACTTCAAATCATCCTGGAACATCGACAAGAAATTTGAGTTAACGGTGCAAACGGCCTGTAAAGTAAATTGTGATGTTAAAGTATCAGCTTCCATGGAAGTAAGTGCAATCATCACTTTAACATTTAACATACTAACCTAATCAAACATCGGCAGATAGGTATCATGGTGGGCATCTTCCATGGTGGAAAGTCACTGTGTCAGCCACAGCACACCAAGCATCAGCTGCTCAATGAGAACATGGAGTTCACGTTTAACGAGCGGCTCGTTTTCAATATTGATGTATGCAATTTGCCGCGCAGCGCGAAGCTGTGTTTGGCCATCTATGAAGTTCCTAAAAGCGGCAAGGGCACCAAGAACAGGAAAACCAAGGAGCCCAACAAGGAGTTCAACTCGAATCCCGTTGCATGGGCGAATACCACCATCTTCGACTACAGGAACCAGCTGAAGACGGGCGCTATGACATTGTACCTCTGGACGTATGCTGAGGATGCGATGATGTTGAACGATGATCTCCTTTATCCCCTGGGCACCGTCGTCAGCAATCCCGGCAATAACGCTACCAGTCTGACTATCACATTCGATAGGTGAGTGTAAAATACTACATTTTTTTAAAACTCAGATTAGGAAGAAGTGAATCATTTCACTCGCATTCAATAACTAAAAAATAATTAAATTTATACTTAAACTCACCTTCAAGATGATTCACAATTACACTTTGTTTATTGGTTTCTATGGTTAATGTAAACAATTTTACAAGCGACAGCCTTGATACCTATGAATAGGTAGAACTAGTTGCATACCATGGAAGTTCTCCCAGTAAAATATGAAACCATTATTTTAATAAAAAACCAGATAGTTTAAAGATAATATTAAAATATTAAATGTCAGTAACAATTATAAATTTACATTATTTGCAATTAATTTGTTTATTTACTATTCTTAACGCAAACGTGTTTTAATACTTTTGTCTCCACTAATAATTGGTAAATGGAATGATTATAATCTCACCTGCATTTTCATTAAATAATGAAAATGTACCGGGTTTTCTTGATTCGCGCGAAACTATAGTCTCTGACCATCGTTCTCTTCGAACTGCAACTAGGATATCGACAGCAGCGCATACCGACCAATGGTTGCATTACATTAAAACAACAACAAACAATGGCCATTCGTAGTTCGCCCCGTTCCAATTTCATCGCACAATGGAAAACAATAGCGGAAAAAACAAATAAATAAAACAAATGCATTCGCGAAAAGTAAATAATAGCCGATGACTGGATTGGTTATCGTTTTATTATTAGAAACAGTGCGAGCGAGATAGAAACAAAGAGTGCAACATGATTTATGAATTTATATAGTAAATATATGATATGTTATAGATTTCATTTCATTCAATATTTGGTTGTAAATATTTCTATAATAAAATATAATTTAAATTAAATTTGCGATAATATTCAGAGAATGGGCGACCAATTGTATGTTGTTATATAATAAATTGTGTTTATTATTAATTAGAGAATGCAGGATGTGGACTTGTGAGAATAATAAATTATAATTAATTTGATGTTTAAAGGATATTAATTAACCGAATTGAAATTTTATGATCTTTCGATTGCAGCTCGTGTGTTAACGTGTATTTTCCATCTTTGGAGCAAATGATAAACAAAGTGGAAGAGCGGTATGAAAGGGAAGAGCGTGAGGAAAGAGAGGAGATGGAGGCTACGGGTGATTATGAGGATGTGCGGAAGATCAAGGAGATGTCGGAATCGGAATTGTCCGAGTTCAAAAAAACGTTCATAGAGAACGATATTTATGAAGTGCATGACCAGGAAAGGAAGGAGATGTGGAGGTACCGGTCTTACTGGTTGGAGAGGGAACCGGAGGTGCTGCCGAAGCTTCTGCACTGCATCGACTGGGATAACCAGGAGGATGTGGGTGACATGGTGCACATGCTGCAGAGGTGGCCTGTACTGCCGGTCGAAAAGGCGCTGGAACTGCTTGATTACGCTTATGCCGATCAGCAGGTTCGGGGATTCGCAGTCCGTTGCCTACTTGATATCGTCGACGACGACCTGCTACTCTACCTCCTGCAGCTCGTACAAGCCCTCAAGCATGAGCTCTTCCTATATTGCGATCTGGTCACTTACCTGCTACAGCGAGCGTTGTGCAATCAGAAAATTGGACATTATCTCTTCTGGCATTTGCGGTCCGAGATGCAGGTTGCCTCCGTTTCGGTCCGCTTTGGTCTCATCCTCGAGGCGTACTGCCGCGGTAGCTGTCAGCACATGCCTGCACTTAGCAGGCAGCTGGAGGGCCTTGAGAAGCTCAAGAAGATCAGCGAGGTGGTGAGAAAATCTCGCAGGGACAAGGAGAAGGCGCGCGTCGCCATGCAGGACTACATGACGCAGCATAGCAAGGACTCTTTCAAGGATTTCATCAGTCCACTAGATCCAAGCAATCGATGCAATAGTGTCAGGTGAGATCATCAACCTCAAGAAAAGTTCAAACAAAAGCTAATAACCGTCTTCATTTCAGAGTGGATAAAGTTAAGGTGATGGACAGTAAGATGCGACCTCTCTGGATAGTGTTTGAGAATAGTGACACCATGGCCGACGACATATACATAATTTTTAAGAACGGCGATGATCTACGCCAGGACATGCTCACGCTACAGATGCTCCGAGTCATGGACAAACTGTGGAAGGAAGAGGGGCTCGATTTTCGGTGCGTATAAAGTTAGAAAATAATAATTACATAGACAATAAACGAAATATTGGTGCAGGATGAACCCCTACAAGTGTATCTCCACCGAGTACCGAATAGGCATGATAGAGGTGGTTCTGAACGCCGAGACCATAGCTAACATCCAGAAGGAACGCGTAATGTTTTCCGCCACGTCACCCTTCCGTAAGGAATCATTGCTAGGTAATATAAATAATTGTTACTGGTAATAAAGATGATGGTTAATTGATTGTATTTACAGACTGGTTAAAATACCACAACAAGACTGAGGCGGCGCTGAAGCAGGCCATCTACGAATTCACCTTGAGTTGTGCAGGCTATTGCGTGGCCACCTATGTTCTGGGAGTTGCGGATCGTCACTCTGACAATATTATGGTCAAGAAAAACGGACAGGTAACATTATTAACATTCAATAATAACTTACTCAACTTAATTGACGATCGTTTGTAGCTCTTCCATATCGACTTCGGCCACATCCTAGGACACTTCAAAGAAAAGTTCGGTTTCAAGCGAGAACGGGTCCCGTTCGTGCTCACCCACGACTTCGTGCATGTGATTAGTAAGGGCGAGAAGAAGAATCTAGAGTTCAAGATGTTCCAACAGTACTGCGAGCAAGCCTTCCTTATATTACGAAAGCACGGCGGATTGATACTCTCGCTCTTCGCGATGATGATATCCACAGGGTTGCCCGAACTCAGCTCCGAGAAGGACCTCAACTACCTAAAGGAGACCTTAGTAAGTGAAACACCACTCGCATTATCACTTCCCAACTTACTCATCGTTTACTTGCAGGTTCTTTCCAAATCCGAGGAAGAGGCGCTGCAACACTTCCGCTCCAAATTCGACGAGGCCCTCTCCAACTCCTGGAAAACCTCCATGAACTGGGCCACCCATAACATCTCCAAGAATAACAAGGTCTATTGATACGACGATGTTCAACAGAACGTGATGAACAATAATATGAATTGTATAAAGTGAAAGAATACAAATATTTCTTTGTAAACTAAATAATCAAAAAAAAAAGAAGAGACGTTCTTCAGCTAAATTATATATATTTGCATATATAAAAAATATTATATATATATATAAATTAAGAAAATTACTATTTGATTCGAAGAGATTCAAACGATTGAAAGTGCCAATAATTAAATTATCGTTAGGTAAATTGTACGATTAGAAAATTAATGCACCCGCCATTCGTTCATTTTTCCCCTCCATTCAACTTCACAGCTCTCTAAACACTTAAAAAGACATGAACCTATTTTTCTTCTTGTTGTTGTTGTTATTGTTCAATTATTATCAAGCAACTTTTGTTTCTCGTTTACGTTTTGTTCCCTCGATGCATGCAATACCCGCCCCTCCTAAAAACGGAATGCAAATTGAAGTCTTATGTACAAATTAACTGTAAACAAAAATGATCTAATTGTATAAGTAGATTATATATATATACAAAAAGAAATAATAAACGAATTTAAATTAATTACCATTATAATTCTGAACTTACTATCCTCTCCAAATTTGTGTTATTTTTTTTTAATATTCAGGTATATTGTAATATGTTATACAAGTAAACTAATAACGTTGATAAAAGTTTTGTTTTAATTTACTCTCGTTTCTAACTATTCGAAAAAATCAATAATTGCGAGTGTTTGCAATTTGATACTGTTTGAAATCGGATAGGTTTAGAAACCAAGAAAACTGTGCATAATCCGGAAAGCAAACATGCGGCCAACTGCGTTTGCAGTAAACAAGTAGAGACAAACGAGAAACAAATAAATACCTGAAAAAAAGTGTAGAGAATTAAACAAACGCAGATCTGTGACAACAGTTGTGAGATAACCGCTCACATCAAGTAGCCATGTCGAGAGAAACGCAGCCGCTGTTAGAATCATCATATGTAAGTAGTATCACTAAATTAGATAAATAGTAAATGTAAGTAAGTACGAAGTTAAATGTTCAAAAATAAACTGCTTATTTACTAAACGTTATTAGGATAACTTTATTATTGCTCATAACAATTGTTTGGGTAATTTGTGGTTTATAATAATTTGTATTATTTTGAAAGTTTGTTAATTGACTAATATTGAATTAAAAAACAAAAGAAGATTAGAAAGGATGAAGAAAATTATGGAAGTGGGCGAAGCGAGAGCGAGAAGATCACGTACGTGTGGAGCGATTTAAACGTCTTCGTCAGTGTGAAAGACAAGAAGGAATCTCTTTTCGGAAAATCGACGGAAACCCGGAAGCACATTTTGCAAAATGGTAAATGAAAAACGTAATTTAACAAAGATTTAATTAGATTTTTTCTTATAATCTTATTAAGTGAGTGGGATTGCAAGACCGGGCGAGCTTCTTGCTATTTTGGGGGCGAGCGGCGCGGGAAAAACGACCCTGTTGAACGCACTCACCTTTCGCTCTTCGTCAAAGATGATAATTTCCGGTTTCCGCTCGGCCAATGGGGTGCCGATGGCTAGATCCGCTTTGACCAGTCAGAGTGTTTATGTTCAACAAGAAGATCTCTTCTTTCCCAATCTTACAGTCCGAGAACATCTTATATTTCACGTAAATTTATTATCTATCTTAGTAGATCTTTTTTTTTAAATAATTTGTATGTTCTTGTCAAGGCTTTGGTGAGAATGGATAGAGAAATCCCGTATAAAGCGAGGATCAAACGGGTGGAACAGGTCATCAAAGAGGTTAGTTAAAATTTAATAATTTAATAAAGTTTATCTATATAATCCGAACATAAACTGCCGTTAAGCGAATGTACATTTTACTTCCGCCTCGGATTCATAAGATTTTCTTATGAATCCGAGCACTGTTTTAAAGAACATCTTCTTTAAAGCAGTGCTCCCCAACCTTTTTATTGCCGCGGACCGGTCAACGTTTGCCGCTGAGGGGGCGACTTTGATACAGTTACACCAAAAAATGAATATAAAGTGATTTAACATTTAACTAAATAAACTGTTATGATCCTGGTAATAACAATGCTGGAATTTTAGTTGAGTTTGACGAAATGTGCTGATACTCACATTGGATTGGGAGCCGGTCTTAGCGGTGGAGAAAAGAAAAGATTGGCCTTTGCGTCTGAAGTTCTCACCGATCCGTCGCTGATGTTCTGTGACGAACCGACCTCGGGCTTGGACTCCTTCATGGCTTCCAACGTGGTGCAGGTGCTTAAAGATTTGGCCAAAACTGGTAAAACCATCATCTGCACCATCCACCAACCTTCTTCGGACCTCTACTCGATGTTCGACAAGGTCTTGCTGATGGCCGAGGGTAGAGTAGCCTTCATGGGTACACCAATCGAGGCAAACCAATTTTTTCAGAGGTCTGTAAAAAAATTGCTTCTAAATGTAATTCATCGATTAATGCTAATTAATTCAGTTTGAACGCTCCTTGTCCGCATAACTATAATCCTGCCGATTATTACATCCAATTGTTGGCAGTGACACCGGAAGAGGAGGAATCGTGCAGACAGGCGATTACCATGATCTGCGATGCCTTTGAGGGCAGCGAGTTCGGTCAGAAAATGGTTCAGGAATCGCAGCAAATAGTGAACGTGGATGAGGATTATAGGTTTTGGGCTGGTCTGGAAGGTGCGGAAAACCCTTACAAAGCGTCGTGGTTTGCGCAGTTCAGAGCCGTTTCGTGGAGGTGTTGGTTGAACGTTGTTAAGGAACCGATCTACATCAGAGTTCGCCTTCTGCAGACTATAGTGAGTTGAAAGAAACAATCATGTTCAGCAATTTAAACTTGTTTGCAGCTTTCCGCTTTTATAATCGGTTTCTTATTCTTTGGACAAACGGCGACTGAGGCTGGCGTGATGAACATCAATGGAGCCATGTTCATCTTCATCACCAGCCTCACGTTCCAAAACATTTATGCCGTAGTTTCGGTGAGTCTCACCACCTATCACAAATGCTTTAGTCTTAATTTGATTGTTCACTAGGTGTTCTGCGCCGAGTATCCCATATTTTTAAGGGAACATCTAAACGGGATGTACCGTACGGACGTCTACTTCATATGCAAAACCCTATCCGAGGTGCCGATCTTCACCCTCATTCCTGTGTTCTACGTGTCCGTTTGTTACTACATGATTGGCCTCAACCCAGAAGTGTCTAGATTCTTAATAGCCATATCCGTCGTCGCACTTGTCAGCAACGTTTCCATCAGTTTCGGTGAACTAATTATTTCAGCAACAAAAAAAGCATTAAATAAACAAATACTGTTTCCCAGGTTACCTAGTATCATGTCTCACCGACAGCGTATCCATGGCGCTCTCTATAGGTCCTCCTATCAACATACCATTACTACTGTTCGGTGGATTCTTTCTGAACGTAAAGTAAGAAAAAAACGCAATAATATACCGAACAACAAGATGATCCTTCTGTTACATAAATAATTAGTGCTTTTTATCTTGCAGATATATGCATATTTTTTTGTAATCAAATTTTTAAACGTTTAAGTTTTATCTTCATAAAAAATATTTAAGCTATGCATTCACAGGTCGATCCCCGTCTACTTCGAGTGGTTGTCATTCTTCTCCTGGTTCAGATTTGGGTACGAATCATTGATGATCAACCAATGGGACGGAATAGAGCATATAAACTGCACACAAGGCGCAGTGTCTTGTCCGCAAAGCGGCGAAATCGTCTTAAAGATTTACAATTTCTCCAAAGTAAGCAAAAAAATCAAACTAATACATATTAATAACTAATAATTCGATTATTGTAGGATAATCTGGTCACGGATATTGTCATGCTCTTCGCTCTGACGATCATCTTCAAGCTGCTCGCCTACTCAGCCCTGCTATTCAAGACCCTGCGCCGTGCACAATAACACTTATTGCATAACGTTTCTGTTTGTTTTCACTTATTTGTATAATTATTTTTTTTGTTGATTTCGTTGCTGTAATGATTCCTGTACAAATACAAGATAAGCGATAATTAACAAACGGTTCCATTTCTGTATCAATTTTCCCTCTCCCTCGACGCTCGTAAGGTATCTCCGCTGAAACTTTCTCGACCGGTGTTTCGTGACTAGAAATAAATAAACTAAACAAAAATAAAAGGCTTCTTCTAAAGTTTCCAGAAGCAAAACTAAATCTAATACAGACACGGGCGTAGTGACCCGATAATCAGGTGTGTATTACACTCGGGTTTATTACAGAGAAATACATACACACACGCATAACAGACACGTTAAAGACGATGAGCAGTTCAGGACGCACCTCATTGGCGAGCAGTAGCAGCAGCAGCTTTACTTCGACTTCGCGTGGAAACGGCGAGATCGATTTGGACGTTCTTAAGAGAACCATAAAACAGGTGATATTAATAATAATTCAAGTATAATTACTTATAATTAATGAAAAACTTTCTAAATATTCCTCAACCATTAAAAGGTATAAGAGATTGTCATTAAAACTATCGTGTTTTTGACTAGAATCTTGCAAAATCATAATTTAATTATGGTAATATTTTTGTTTATTAGTCTGTTCAAAAGGACCATCGAGAAATTTGAATATATGAGTTTTATAATTATAGAAATATTTCTGGTAAGACTATATGATTACACATATTTGTTATATGTAAAAGGATGATCATGAACTGGTGGAACGTAAGCACACACCCACCCACTTCAATCGAAGCTACGACAGATGGTCTCCGCATGAAGAAGGCGCCACCATCGCCTGGCGGGACCTGAACGTCTTCGTCAGAGACCGAAAAGGTGATCCGGTTTCCATCAAAACCATAATATCAGGAGGTAAAATTCCATATAAATAATGCTTATGTTTCAAATAAGCAATGATTATTATTTACCTTTCCAGTAACCGGTGCGATTAAACCAGGCAGTTTGGTTGCTTTGATGGGATCCAGGTAACTGAAGAAATAACTAATCATTATTTTTTAATAGATATTTTTTTGTGTTCAAGTGGATCTGGGAAGAGCACTCTTATGTCTGCGTTAGCGTACCGGACTTCTAGTGAGTTTTCAGTAAAGTTTAAGTAGAAATAAGAAATAAAATTGTTATTTTCAGAAGATTTAATTGTGGAGGGTGACATTTTGATTAATGGACGCGCGATCGGTGATTATATGAGGCACATGAGCGGGTTCATGCACCAGGAGGACCTCTTCGTCGGTTCTCTCACGGTGTACGAACATATGGAGTTCATGGCTCGCATGAAGTTGGATCGAAGGGTTTCGCGACGGGAAAGGGAAGAAAAGATAGACGATATTCTGAGGAAACTGGGTTTAGCGAGGCTGAGGAATACGCGGATCGGGCTCAGCGGAGAGAAAAAGGTGCTTTCGGGTGGTGAGAAGAAACGGTTGGCTTTTGCCGCAGAGGTAATTTTAGAATTGTTTTTTTGAACCGAAGATATTTATAATGTGTTTTCGCCAGTTAATAACCGATCCGCAAATACTGTTCTGTGATGAGCCGACTACTGGTCTAGACTCGTATTCTGCACAGAAATTAGTGGAGATGATGAACGATTTGGCGGCGAAGGGTAAGACAATAGTCTGCACGATTCACCAACCTTCGAGCCAGTTGTTTGCCATGTTCAGTCAACTAATTTTGCTTGAGGATGGTCGGATCGCGTACATGGGATCGGCCTCCAGCGCTGACGACTTCTTCAACAGGTAATCCAATAGGAAAAAAGGAACGTTCGCTTAACAAGCGCATTCAATATTTGCAGAATACTAAGCGAATGAACGCTAAATATTATGATTGCATTTACGATTTTTTTGGTATACACGTCTCTTCCTTCACATGTACGTTTATATGCAGGTACTCGTCGTTCATATGAACGTACCTTATGATATCCGATTATATGCTGCGATTTCCCTTACTAATCTTTCAGACGCAATACATGCTTTAACTTTATTTCAATCAGAGTGTGATGTTATTTATATACTTCCTAAAACATCGAACAGGAAGGCAAGTTCGTTATTGACATTATATAGATATTTATAATTATCAAACCATAATCATGTACTTTAAAATAATATACTTAAGCTGTATTTAAGCCATAAATTAATATGCAATTGCAGCATGGGTTACGGTCGACCAGCCAACTATAATCCAGCTGACTTCTTCGTCCGAACTTTGGCACCGGTGCCCGGATCTGAGGAGGCGAGCAGGATGGCCGTGAAAAGGATTAGTAATAATTTCTCGCTGAGCGATCACGCCAAGGAGGTCGACGTCATTGTCCAATATGAATTTCACATGGGCGCCGCCATCCAGGTAATAAAAATGCACCATAAATCACGCACCTTTCAGAGCGAATCCATCTGCTGCACTGCAGACTTCCTTCTCAAATATTTCGTTTTCTCTTTTTTTTTTAATTTTATTATTTCATTTTACTTTAGCACTCCAATTTCGACTTCAGGGCCAACTTGTGAGTATGAGATATAATCGATTTACACCTGCAATACTCATTTCGACTTTCACATTCATTAATCAGTAAAGAGATCTTCTGCTGGACGAGATTCGCGTTAATCACGCGGCGCCTCCTCACCGATACTTTTCGTAATCCCGCCACCCTCTACCTGAGACTCATACAGAGCGCGGTATGTCAATTATCGCCATCTTCATATACGCCATGTTGTTTGACGCCATATTGTTTGTTTCTGTTTCCAGGCAATCAGTTTTATGGTCGGAATGTGTTATATAGGGACAGATCCGCTAACGCAGAACGGGATACAATCACTGCAAGGAACCTTGGCCATCATCGTCTGCGAGAACACATTTCCTGCGATGTACGGAGTTCTCGCAGAGTTCCCAGAAGGTTTACCTCTCTTCATGCGCGAATACAAATCCGGGATGTACAACACCGGCACCTACTACGCGGCCAAAGTCATCTCCATGGTGAAACAAAATCAGTCCAACAGCGAACAACAACAAACATAATTGTTTATAATTCTCAGTTACCAGTGCTGATGGTGGAGCCTATACTTTTCCTCCTCATCCTGTACTACCTCTGCGGTCTGAGGAATACTTTGTATAGTGTAGTCATCTGTTGCCTCACCTCCGCGCTCATCATGAACACTGCTTGTTCCTGCGGTAAGCAATCCGATAACGATAACAAACAAAATTAATAATAATAAATATTTGTAAGGATTATTATTTTCCAACGCCTTTGAATCCGTGGCCTCCGCTATGCTTTGGCTTATACCATTCGATTATATCCTGATGATAACTTCCGGGTTTTACATGAATTTAGAGTAAGTAAAAAAAAATAAACAAACAGTATTTTCAGATACAAATGTTTGATAGATCTATCAGCGTATATTTATCGTGGACGAAGAATTTGTCGTGGTTGATGTACGGAATGGAAGCAATGACTATAATTCAATGGGAAAACGTCAACAATATAAGTAAGTTCCTATTAAATTCTGTATAACAAAAGTAATAAAATTTACCGTTTTGCAGCTTGTGAACATTCCGATCCACGCTTACCTTGCGTCAGCAACGGTGAACAAGTTCTTAAGCAGTACGGATTCTCGGAGGATCACTTGATTCGCGACCTCGTTGGAATGATCGTCCTCTGCCTATCCTTCCACACTTTATCATACCTCTTCCTCCTGCGAAAAATCAGGAAATATTGAATCTATTTTACAATTTTTTTTTTGATTAAAAACAGGAAATATCAAAGAAATTATTCGATTTTTGTTTGTTAATTCTTAATGAAGAAAATTTCTCGAAAAAATAAGTTTTAAACATACTAACTTTATTCGTTATTTAAGACATGCTATTAATTTTATATATTTATTCATTTTCAACACGTACAAAGTCAAAGGAATTCTTCAATTTTTGCAAAGAAATACATTTATTATAATAATTTCAATGATTTAATCTTAAGCACGATATCTTATATATTATTTGCATATAAAAATCTTGACTTTGTTAAATTTTATTGATATTCATCAATATAAATCTTCTGAACAAAACGAATTGTTTCAAGTTTAATAAACAGATATGAATAGCGTTAATCGTGTCTAAGTATTTATTTTCTAAATAAATAAGAAAATATTGGTTGATATCCGGTGGAGGAGACGGGTCGATGAGTCCTGAACCAAAAGGCAGCTGTGCGAAAAATAAATAAATTTGAGTGGAAAACGGCTAAAATATTCATTGCAAAACTGGGCTTTTGCCACCTGAAATGTAATATATTTTTATTTCGTCCCTGGGTACGAAAAAAAGAAACGGCTAGCGATGAGAGGAAAATGAGATGGCGTAAAAGTATTGTTACGAAATGGAAGGTAAACGAGACCGAACAAATTGACTAATACCATTTGCATAATCGAAAAAAAAAATGGATCTTTGAAATCATATATAAAAGTGCAAGCATAAAGCAACAGACAAATTATGGATGATTTTGTTGTTATCGCAAAATCTTACAGAACGATGAATTTTGGTTCTTTATATTTAATAAAATAATCATGTTTTAAATCTTTGAGGGGCCAGAAATTCCTAAATTTCTAGACCCAACAAACTTTTCAGCCAACTTCTTTAATGGTATGGATTCATCCTTTGACATACCAACTAAATTATATGGTAATTCCTATGTTCAAAAGGTGGTATATTGTGTGTACCACCGCTCAAAGAGTCAGATAGGGTGAAGAATAATAATAGATTTGAATATGTCCTATTGAATTGGACGAGGTAATTAGAACAGTACAACTGGTGGCCTAACGCCGAAATCGACCTTAACCTATTTCCACTTGTAACATCATAGTATTTTGTTATGCAAGAGAAAAACAAATAAGCTCATTCGTTTGTTCTTTGAAAATAGTATGCTTTGATCGGATGTATTCCGATGTCCCGTATGTCTTCCTATCTTTTCAGGCTATAATGTTGTTTCTACAAGACGGATGGATGAATGAAAAGCCTTTCTTTTGTCGGCTTCTATTCTTTGATGTTTTCAGGTCGGAGGTCCCGGGTAAAATCCGAAGGGCTTCTCAACTCTCCCGGATCGGGTGCGCGCAGGGTTGCGTGCGCCGGTGCGAGCGAGCGACGGCGGAGGCCGAGGAGGCGGCGACGGCGGCGGCGGCGGCGGGAGAGGATCGAACTGTCATGGACTCCGTCGTTTTGACAGTGTGCGTGCGTTGTGTGTATTTGTGTCGCGGGGGACAACAAGAACAACAACAAAAAAACATCCAGGTGAAAGAGAGACGGAGAGTTGAGTTATAAGAGGTGAGAGAGAGGAATACGGAGGGAACGCACCTCGTCGTCGAAGGTGTCAGCGAGCACCAGGTGTGTCAGGCAGCGTGTGTGCGTGAATAAAAGGGGCAGCGGAGGCGACTGCTGCTGATACCATCCAAAACCCGGAACTAAGTGGGATTCAAGTACAGTGTTTTGTTTGTTATTTATTTGTTTTTCTTTAACTCGATCGAGGCGGGCGATGCGCTTCCGGTTCGAAGGGTCGCGGCCGGCCGCGGTACTCCAGTGACAAAAGAAACTCATCTTCAACGAGCGCCAATCTCCAAAGCGCTCCCCTCCACATTCCGCCACCCCCGCTCGGCAGGAAGCGGCGACGACGATAAAATTCCTTGGCTACAATCGAAGGTAAAGCTATAATCTAATTAGACCGCGTTTAAAACGGTATCTGTCACTGTTGCAAAGACGTGAAACCAACAGCTACAGTCTAACATATACAAATGACATCAAATGGAACAACAACAAACAACTGTCATTGGGTCAAATCGTTTATAATTGCCACCCCCTCAAAAATAAGCAAATCAAAATAAGAGAACGCCTGCTAGTGTATGCAGCTAACCATACAAATGCACGTTTTTAAAAAATCAATGTTTTCCTCTTTTCATCTATACATTTTCCGCTCTGTGCGTGTGGCTGTGATTTTCAGACCTGAAAATCGTTTTTTTCTCTCTTCCCAACACACAGCAACTTTTCTATACGTGTGCAATTAAAAACACGCGAGCGTTCATATAAATTCGTTGCGCTCGCAAGTTGGTTGACAGCCGATCAGCTGTTCCTCGCTCGTGCAGTTTATTTACAAACAGTTTTCATAACGCAACCCGCCTCATCCCCTCGCAATCCTCGCATTGCGTTCCGGAAAAAGGATCAAAGCCATTTTATTTATCCGACCCGGAAGTCGCATCCCGTACGTTTACTTTCGCCGCGTAATTAACGACCCTTTCGCCCCCTTCGTATACCCCCGCGCAGTTTCGCAAACTGCCTTTTCCCCATTGTGCCGCCCCTGTACAAAAGACCCGCGCAACCAACCAAACACCGATCCCAAACCAACCGTCCCCCTCTTAACCCTCCGTCAGCCCTTATCTTATCGTTTTTGTTTTTGCGCACCGGTCGACCCTTCGGAAAGGATAATCTCTCATTTGAATGAACATTCGCATCCTCGCAGCATCGTTTCGCGACGTTCACCAAGGCACCGGAGGGATCCTTTATTGCTCCCCCCGCAATTCGGCCCGGGACCCTTTCCTTTTATTACCCAATGCCGGAAAATAAACAAAAATAAACACATACAATTACCCTAAGTACTAAAGGTCGTAGGATCTTAATTATAATAAAAACAAATTTCAACTAATTTGTACACATTCAAACACTAACTTATTATATGATATATGAATTCTTTAACTTATTCAAATTAAAAAAAAGATAATTTCTATATATAACAAGAATCCAAATTTAGTTTTTTAAATTATGAGAAATATGAGTAAAAAATATTTCTTTTTTTGTATGAAATTCGATTTACATCTGAAGTTTGAGACTGTGTAAGTGGAGTTATTCTAGACGAAAATTGCAAATGATATTCTTAGCTTTAAATTAACACTATTTATTACTATACACCAGTGGTTTCCAAACTGGGAGGCGCGGACTCTTGCCAGGGGAGGCGCCAAAATTTTTTAATAAATTAATTTTTATACCATAATATCTTCAAATAAATAAAACGTGTCTATATTATTTAATCTATCAAAACAATAAAAGGTAAGGGAGGCGGGAAAAAAAAATTCCTTTAGGAGAGGCGCGGAAAAAAAATTTTTTTTTTGGGGAGGCGTAGTAGCATAAAGTTTGGAAACCGCTGCTATACACTAAAGCAGTGATTCTCAAACTTTTTTGTGCGCGAGCCCCTTTTGGACATACGGATGTTCTGTCATTATTTTTTTGCGACCCCCTAAATATTTTACGCGACTGCACTAAACTTTGTGAATGAGAAATATAAAATTTCGAAAAGAAAGCGAAAGTTAACTAATAGATAATAATAGTAACTAATAGATAGTTACAAAAATCTAATTAAATTTATTATTAAACTATCATTTAATATAATTTATGATAATTATCTTATTGCATACGATATTGAAATCTTTAAATTAACTTAATTAGACTAGAGTATATGAATGAGAAATTGAAATGTTTTAGAACGGAAAAGATAAAAAGAGCGATGTAAAAAAATAAATTGAAAGGAATAAAGGAGAGAAAGACACAGAAGAGAATTTATTAAAAATGCCATTACATTTTTAATTTGCGAAATCCGAGCTGTCTGCTCAAGAAAAAGAGGGCAGCAGGGAAAACAAGTGAACGAAGGAAAAAATAAGGACTGCCGAGAGGAGAAATAGAAAAAAAACAGGGATTGCTGAAGAAGGAGAAAGTCGCGAAGGCATTATGAATCCTCATGAATTCGTAATGTGTGCTAAGGCTGAAAGACTGAAAATCCAATTTTTCTTCGCGTTCTTTTTTTCCTTTCTGCATGTTTGTTTGCTTACTTGATCACTAAGGAAATATGAATATTTCTAGTTCATTATGCAAATCAAGTTATTAATTATTAGTGTTTTTTTGTTACTTGTTTCAAACTACATCTTGAAAGTAAGACATGATGAAAAATATGTAGTATATTAATTATGTGTACATGATAAATGTCTATTATAATGTGCTTTATTTTAAAACATATGTATGATTATAATTAAATTTCGATTAAGGTACATAACGAATATAAAATTTAACGTACGCTAAGCGAATGGGCAGAAACTGGATGGTTCTTTGGTCTTTTGGTTCACACTAACGTACTCAACCTTCATACGAACGTACACTTCTGCCTTATTTTTCCGTTATATTTTTCTATTAGCATAATCATTTTAATAATGTTTTAGTTGGGCATCGGAATTGTTTATAACCATTTTACTATAGATCACAATAAAATCAAGTTATTAACACTTTCATTTTATTTCAATATCTTATAATTTCCAGTTTCTACCGCTATAATTACAATCAAAGTACATAACGCGTACAAAATTACCGTACGCTATGCGAATTGATGGCTACATTTCATATCAATGCATGTATTATTTTAATTTGGTGTATATACACGTTCATACGAACGTACACTTTACTCTCTTATTTTGCCCATCATAAATTAAAAGTTTTGTAGCCTTAATTAAAAGAATACACACTGATTTACTAATTACTTTAATTTTTATTTTTTGTACAATTATGTAAATTTATAATCTACCGCTACTACCACAGTCAATGTTCAATTAACTCACATAATGCATAAACAAATTAAGGTACGCTAAATGAAAGGACGTTAATCGAACGTACCTCACCGTGGAATTTGTTCTCACAAACAAATTAACGTAATTAATAGTTTTTTTTGTTATTTCTACTTAATTTTCCAGGATTAGAAATTACGACAAGCTAATATATTTTCTTTTATACCAGAATCGCAATTGAAACTCTTGGTAATAAGAGCGGAAGTTTATTTTTAGAGTCATTTCCAGTGATTAGGTTTCTGGTACTTTCTTTGCTTTTTACATGGTGATTAGATCTATTCGGAACGAAGACTACGGGAATTTATGAATGTGATTCAATTTTTATATATGTATATATGATTTTAAAAATATGAATCAATTGAGGAAAGGGGAAGAAGATTGATGGAAAACGCAGATTGGAAATGGAGAAAATCGAAAGAAAAGTTTTCCGGCAACGCGATAACTCCAGCTTGAATGAATGCAGAGGGAAACGCGAGGAAAAGCGAAGCTTTCCCCCCGATAAATTGCATTGCGAGTTAGAAAAATAAAATATAAAAATAAAACAAAATAAAGTTGGCGTTTCCATACGCGACTCTGATTTTCATGCGTTTGTTTTCTCCTTTCAATTTTCCTCTTCTATCTTTTTTTTATTTTTATTCCCGTTTCACGTCCCATCTCTCATTGAGATCCAATCAGATCCGCGCGAAAATCAATTTACCTCCCGTTCTTTGTCGTCCTTAACACACGGAGCACACGATACGTATCGCGTTTTTCGTTTATTCTTTTCTATCGCGTTTGGATCGAATCCCCCAGTTCTCTTCCGTGTTTTCTGGCAATCCAGCACATTTTCATCTTCTCGCAACATCGTTTTTGTTTCTCTTAGTTTTTTTATTTCTCATTTTTTTATTATGTTCGGGGTTGTTGTTGTTTGTTGTTATTCCGTTCGTTCATCCGAACGAACAAGTGAAGATCTCCGCCTCTTTATTCCTCTTGTTATATCACGATAAATCAAGTTGGTGCGGGCCAAAATACCCGAACACCAGGGGGCGTTGGCGGCGGACGATAATTTAATTTAATTCCATTCCTCTCGGCTCGCGCGATCTTTAATTAACCGGAGCGTTTTGAAATGATTAATTGCACCCATGTTTCTCCCATATTTTTTTTTATCGTATTATTTTATTTTATCTCCATCTCGTTCGCTCTCACGTGTATCGTCTACGTCCGTAATTGCATCCACCGTTCTCCTCATTTATCTCTCTGTCCATTCGATTATCATGTCAATGTGAGGAGCGAATGTGCGAATAACGTGATATTAACTGACGACGACACCTGCAGGCAGGAAAATCCGAGAACCGTCGCCTCCACCAAATTGTTTATGATCCTTTGTTATTCACGTCACCTTGTTGCCGTTGCGTCTATAAATTAACTAGTACCGTATCATCAGATTGGATTTCGTTGTTAATATTGGACAATATATCAAGTAATTAGAATTGTCATCATCTTGGACCAAGATTTAAACAAATAAAGTAATAGTTATTACAAATATTTGTTAAAAGATGGCGTCTTCGTATAATAAACAACATAAAGAAGAATTCTTCAAATAACCATAAAATATTTAAGTCTTAATTGGAGAAAATAAAAATCGAAGATGCCTAGGTAATGTGTAGAACGCAGAAAACAACTTGTCGGTGTTTATAATGAGTATAATTTTATAGACAACACACACAGACATTTTATATCATGTTACATGATACGATGGAAACATAAAATAACATAATTATAAATATTGTTGTTGAAATCCACGTTGAAGAAAATATATGATCTACGTGATTGTATACGTTTTTTCTTCGTTTTATTTATTTGTACTTAATTGATGAGTTTCCGAATTTGGACCGGGGAATAGGTTAGACCACAATAATGACTCTCTGCACTATATAACTCAAAACAAACATTTCAGAAAAAATAATTATAATAATAGTGGCAATGTGGCAGATTTCAAATAATAAATAAAAGAAAAAAACGTCTATAATTTACTTGGGCAAAGGAATCAAATCAAAGTGCCTAAAGAGAATTGTATGTAGTATGAGTGTCTTTATGAATAGAAAAATATTGGATAGATTTTCATAATCATTTACTTAACGACAAATGTTTTTAAATGTTTTGAACCATTAGATTTAGCGTATAGATTTAATTATGTATGCATTTTTGAATTATAGTATTGTTTGCAAAGTTTCAATTTTAGTCGATAATTTAATGAATATGGAGTATTAATTATGGATATTATATAAATATAAAGTTTGGTAACTATTGAATTACTAATTAGAACTAATTCCACATCTATGGGGCTATGACCTCGTTTATTTTTTATTTATATAACCATTATAATCACATTCCGGTCATCAAAAATATCGGAATTTATAGTTAAATATTTTGTTATTGAATTAGGCGGATAATTATTGTGTGAATATGCAGTGACGTGAAAAATGTTGGGTTGCTGCATTAGATTACAACAAAATCAAGAGAGTAAAACTTAAGATTTTTTAAAATTTCTTTTGATATACGTTATTATATGACCTGGCGCATCCACGAACTATTATATGTACCTTGTCATTTGTTATTTACATCATCATTCTATTAGTTAGATCAAAAAATTATCATTTTTTTTCAATCTCATTTTCGCTATATTGTACTTTTTGTAAAAACAAATGTGACTCGGCATATCCAACAAATATTCCTTGAATTTTATGATTTCTTGTATACAAAACCATTTTTTTATTTCCAATTCGATAAAATATTTGACCCGCCTTTTTTTTATTATTTACCAATTTTTCTTCCGTTTGATTTTTTTTGATAATTATATTTAATTCCGTTTTCACTAAAAATGTGCCTTTCTGATTTATTTTATTTCATTGTCATTTAATAATCTTTGGATCAAATTAAATTTTAGTCATTAACGTTACGCATTTTTTTTGCTGTTGTTGTTTTCCGCTTTCAGCCGGAAATGGAATTGTGTAATTCGATTTGCGCGCCTCGGCTAGCACGTAAATAACGTGATTATCCCGTTATCCTCAACCCCGAAACACCCGCCGCCGCCTACTGTGCGAATTCGGATTATTATTAATAATAATAATGGTTGGTGGCGGTTTCGCCTGTTGTTTTAGTTGCGTTGTGTTATCTTGAAAACGCTCGAGGCCCACTGGATATAGTTCGGACGTGTGCGGGGTGGCGGCTAGAACTTTGCCATGCAAACTGTTTTAAACGGATTTCCGCCACCGCCACTGCCGCCTCAACCACCACCGCCAACCCTGATGCAATTTTCAACGCTCTACCGTCGAAGCTGCGAAATGAAATACACTTCTGTGCAAAACAGAAGAAATGAAATCGTATTAATTATGGAGATTGAGAGAAAAAAAAGTTCGCATCATCGAAAGTTGGATGTAGCGAGCGTCTAATCCCCGTGATGCTCGTTACAGCTGACCATTAAGAGATATATATGTATATATATAGAAAAAGAGAGGGAGACGGGAAAGTGAAGGAAATAGCTAATGCCCTTTCGGCACATTGAATATTTCATATTGCGCGGTTGGGGGAGGCGGCGAACAACATTTACATGACACCTCATAAATATTTCATCGTCTCCGGCAAAGCCAGCGCCGCGATCGCATTCTTTTTTTCACTCTTCTTCATTTTGTTTTTCACTTTCTTCTCATCTTTATTTCTTTCTTCCCTCTGCCTTTTGTTTCCTTCTGCATCTGGAGTTCAAGGCTTACTAGATAAGAACATGTGTAGCGAACGAAAGCTTTTCTTTTTTTTTTGTTATGCTCGTGTGCGCCCAAAGTAACAAAGAGACATTGAGATGAGAAACGCGCATAAAAAAGGGAAACAAAATGAAGGGAATTGGGGAAACAAGTAAAATTGAAATGCATTGATGATACTAAAAATGTTGCTGTAAGCGATATAAAATAGTTATATAGAAAAACGCTTTAATTTTGTATGTAATAAAATAGAATATGGAAATAATGATAATTTAAGAATTTTAATAAATTCTACATTTAAAAGTATTGAGGAATGAAATTATGATTGATATGAATGAAGGAAGATAAAATTGAACAAGTCAACAAGTCAAGTTTGGATTAATAATATATATTTGGAATAATAATATATAATAATAAATGATTCGCGGTAAATTAAGAAGATGAAATTAAATATAAGTTAGGAAGGAATTAAAACAATTATTTTAATAAAAATCACATTTATTGCAATATATTACAAATTACAATAATACAATTCAACAAAATAACGCAATAAGAAAATTAAAACTAAATTGATTTGCTGCAAAGGCTAATTATTTTGTTTGTTTAATACTTAATCGTATATGACTTAAATTATTTTTTTACTCTTTTTTGCTTTTGTTGCGTTTGGCTTTGCAGCACTTCTCGCCCTTGACACAAGATTTCCTGCACTTGATGCACTTATAGAGGATAATTGGTGGGATTAAAGCAACCAAGGCTAGGAAGGCAACTACATCCAGTAGAAAGTACTTGTAGATGGGCATATCAGTGGCTGCGGTTCTCAAGAACTGTGCATCACTATTTCTTAACAAATACTCGACCCAGAAGATGGCCAGATCCAAGGGTTTCATGGTGCTATCGCGCATCATTTTCGACCTTCGCTTAGCGATCTTTGCAAATCTGATTTAAAACATAGAATTAATGATTTTGAAGATTTTCTTATTTTTTTTGTTGTAATTACCTGGGATTTTTTGTGATGGTATCGAAGGTCTCAGTGAGAGAAGCCTCGTTTAGGTCGTCGAAATCAATTTGAAGGGCAAAGCCATTCTTCACGTGCATTTTCATATTGGCCATTTGATCTCCGAAGAAGGGAACTCCAATTAAAGGAACTCCGAAGTAGATGGCTTCCATAGAACTTAAGAGTCCTCCGTGCGTTAAGAAAACTTTAACGTTAGGGTGACCTGAAAGTACAGAGTTAAATTAAGATGAAGTTATTGAAAATCATATCTATTCTTTACTTAAAATTTCCTGTTGAGGCATCCAATTTTGAATCATGACGTTCTTAGGCTTTCCTTCCAATTTATCATCTTCGTACTTCCAGAGGACCTTCATTTTTAATTTGGACAGAGCTCTGAGAATGCTTTGGACTTTTTCCTCTGGAAGATCTTTACTTTTTACGTTGGAGCCCAAGCTGAAATAAACAACACCTTCTGTGGCGTCGTCAAGGAATTTCTTGACATCAGCAGGTACCTTATTTTGTTTTGGATTGATATGGATACCGCCAACATGGATCATCTGTGGAACTGTAGGCACGGGATCGTTGACGCTCGGATGGGAGTTTAGGAAGACCAAATCAACATTTTTTTTGATTATGGTGGGAATGTCAGGGGTCGCAGGGAAGTACTTCCTCATCAATGCTTCCTGTTTGGGGATATGCATATACTTGTTAACCGTATTGACAAAGACCGTGAAGAAAGCGTTGTGCAGTCTCTGGAAGAAGGTCATGTCGGAGGAGTAGGGCAAAAAGATGTTTGGAATGTATGAAGGATTAGTGGGATTGGAGACTACATAATTGCTCATGTCGCTGGAACTGATGGTACTGAAAGCTATGCATCTGGCATTGAAGTGTACGCAGAATCCTTTAAGGGCATCGTTCATGAACTGTTCCATCACGACTATATCAAACTTTTCATTCTTCATCATATCCTGGACTTTGGGATGTTTCAAGAGCAACTCGTTCTGCGATAACATCAACTCACCCATCCACATGTACATCACGTACGGTGAGATGTGTCTCATATCATTCATAGTAGCATTATGTGTTTGTTGTTTCTCTCGCTGTATCTCTGTAACAAATATGGAAATAAATCTTTCAATTCAGTAAATTAATAACCTACCTTGAATCTGCTCATGGATGCCATCTAAATAGATATTTTTGTACGACGTTTTCTTGTCGTAAGCGCTGATGAACGTAACATCGTGCCCTTTCTTCGCCAGACCCTCGAAGAGTTCGTGTCCCAATATGAAGTGGCTGTGCGAGGTCATGGGGAAGATGCCCAGGATTTTGGCGCTGTGCGCCAAGGAGCAGAGCCCCAGCAGCAGAAGCAAAGGAACGGACGTTCTCATCTTACAAAGTTCTAAGCATTTAATAGAATTACCGCATCGCATCGTAACTGCTACTCGAAAATTAGATAAACGATAGTAAATATGATAAACGATAATATCTGATAATAACAATCATGTTTTTTTTATTGAATTATTACAGCAATCTAACTCAAACACAACAAGATAGTAGATTGAAGTTCTGGCGTTTGCTGAAATGTTGAACAATTGGTCCAGCAATCAACCTTCACGTAGGATTAATCACTTGATGCACACATATGCATATACACATGCACAATCGCACACCAACTACTTAAAATTAACTATTGGTATATGTTAGGCTAATCTTCGAGTTTGGAACCAAAAGTTAGCGAAGAATAGATCATGCATGGTGATATATTAAGAAGATGAAATTATCAGGAAATTACAAAGGAATTAAAACAATTATTGTTTATTAATTATTTTATTTTATTTGTTTATTACTTAATCATATATATTTTAAGTCTTTTTTTACTCTTTTTTGCTTTTGTTACTTTTGGCTTTGCAACACTTCTCGCCCTTGGCACAAGATTTCCTGCACTTGATGCACTTGTAGAGAAGAGTCGATGGGATTAATACAACCAACGCTAGGAAGGCAATGACGTCCAGCAGAAGGTACTTGTAGATGGGCATATCAGTGGCTGCGGTTCTCAAGAACTGTGCATCACTGTTTCTCAACAAATACTCGACCCAGAATATGGCCAGATCCAAGGGTTTCATGGTATTATCGCGCATCATCTTAGACCTTCGCTTAGCGATCTTTGCGAAACTGAGTTAAAGTATGGAATTAATGATTTTGAAGATTTTCTTATTATTTTCTTGTAATTACCTGGGATTTTTGGTAATGGTATCGAAGGCCTCGGTGAGCGAAGCCTCGTTCAAATCGTCGAAATCAATTTCAAGAGCGAAACCGTTCTTCACGTGCATTTTCATGTTCGCCATTTGATCTCCGAAGAAGGGAACGCCGATTAAAGGAACTCCGAAGTAGATGGCTTCCATGGAGCTCAGGAGTCCTCCGTGCGTTAAGAAAACTTTAACATTAGGGTGACCTGAAAGTACAGAGTTAAATCAAGATGAAGTTAATGGAAACCATATTTATTCTTTACTTAAAATTTCCTGCTGAGGCATCCAATTTTTGATCATGACGTTTTTAGGCTTTCCTTCCAATTTATCATCTTCGTATTTCCAGAGGACCTTCATTTTCAGTTTTGAAAGAGCTCTGAGAATGCTCNNNGTACCTTGTCTTGTTTTGGATTGATATGGATACCGCCCACATGGATCATCTGCGGAACTGTAGGCACGGGATCATTGACGCTTGGATGGGAGTTCAGGAAGAGCAAATCCACGTTGCTTTGGATTATGGTGGGAATGTCAGGAGTCGCAGGGAAGTATTTCCTCATCAATGCTTCCTGCTTGGGGATATGCATATACTTGTTAACCGTATTGACGAAGACTGTGAAGAAAGCGTTGTGCATCCTCTGGAAGAAGGTCATGTCGGAGGAGTAGGAAAGGAATAGGTTCGGAATGTATGAAGGATTACTGGGATTGGAGACTACATAATTGCTCATGGCGCTGGCACCGATGGTACTGAAAGCTACGCATCTGGCGTTGAAGTGCACGCAGAATCCTTTAAGCGCATCGTTCATGAACTGCTCTAGCACGACCACATCGAACTTTTCTTTCTTCATCAGAGCCTGCACCTTGGGATGTTTGAAGATCAACTCGTTCTGCGCCAACATCATCTCACCCATCCACATGAACATCACGTACGGTGAGATGTTTCTCATTTCATTTATACTCGGATTTTCTGTTTGCTGTTTCTCTCGCTGCATCTCTATAAAACAAATGGAATTAAACACTTTAAATTAATTCAGTAAATTAATAACCTACTTTCAATCTCCTCATGGATACCATCCAAATAGATATTTTTATACGTCGTGTTCTTGTCGTAAGCGCTGATGAACGTAACATCGTGCCCTTTCTTCGCCAGACCCTCGAAGAGTTCGTGTCCCAATATGAAGTGGCTGTGCGAGGTCATGGGGAAGATGCCCAGGATTTTGGCGCTGTGCGCCATGGAGCAGAGCCCCAGCAGCAGAAGCAAAGGAACGGACGTTTTCATCGTACAAAATTCGATTGTGCACTGCACATAATTACCACATGATAACTGTTACTCGAAAATTAGATAATAGATAGCGATTATGATAAACAACGATGTCTCATTTTGAATTGATAATCACGATCATGTAAGCACACGTAGTACACACTCATTGTCCAAAAAAACGAGATATAACGGGAGATTATACAAAATCAATTGATAAATTTATAAATAACTGTGAATAACAACGTAGATATTGCATAAGTATAATAAATTTGTTGCAGGTAATACGTTTTAAAGTTAACTAAATCTTTATAAATATTATTAACTAAACGGTTTCTTATTCAAATAATATATTTATTATTTAAATAAATATATAAAATTAAAAAAGAAACAGTAATATTTGTATTTGTTATATTTTATGTTCTTCTATAACTTTCTCAGAGTTTTTCAACTTAGAAAGATTCCACGACTAATCAATGTGTAATGACTAGTTAGTCATAATTACACATGGCAAGTTTCTAGTCATAGTTCTAGTTAGACTCATAAAAAAAACCCTACTTACAAACCTAGAAACTATGCTTTTTAGCAACTGGAATGGAGACCAAGAAGGATAATCTTATAGTGTATATTAAAGTGAATAAACTTCTATCATTTTTTAAAAACTCCACTAGAACTTCAAAACGACATAATTTAGAGATTCCTCAGTGTTCAAAGATATTCACTTAAAATCGGTTCGAGCATATGTAAAAAATAGTATGAAATTTAAAGATATAGAATTTTTAGTATTTGAGATAATCAATAAAATAATAAAGAATTTAAATTTATTATTATTATGAAAACTTGGGGGTAGTAAGAGAAAATATTTTTAATGTCATGCACATTTATATCTATTGTTTATTTTTTATACTTTTTTTTAAAGAAAATTCTAAATGAATTAAAAAAAATATATTTTCAGTTAGTTTTGTATTGAGAACTTCCACAAATATGCATAAAGTGAATTATTTTTGGGATTTTAGTGATTTTTAAACATAAAATATAAACAAATATATTTTATACAATATGATTTAGTTTTTTATATGATGAGATGATATTAGTTAACACAGTTAATAATAACATTGATAAAATTATAAGATAAGCGATTTAAAGTATAGTATGATTAAATATAAAAAAATAATTTTTGATGATAAAGAAAATGTGAATTTATAAATAAAATATATTATTTCGATTTTAAGATTTTACTCTTTACTAAAAACATATTTTTGTCACAAATTTTGTGATATTAATTGTAAATATTATTATAAATAGAAAGAAATTTATGGTATAATTATTTTGATAAATTATCTAGGAAGTATTGTAGTATAAACACTGAACTAAATATTGTATAAATAGCCAGTTAGGATAAAGTAAACAAATATATTTACTAGTACTAATAATGTTGAACGAAAAAAATGGAGATGAATTGAGTCATTTGAAGAGAGCTATGTTACACGTATAAACACGCACAAATGTATAGTGTGTACAAGACATGCTAGAAGGGGTTTTAAGTGCCCTTTGAGAGCTAATATCATCAATCTTGCCGAACGAAACATAGAGAAAGAAAAAAGAACGCACGCACACACACAATTAGGGCCTACGACGAAGTTCGTCCCAATAACAATCGAGTGTGCTTTGTTATACTTTTTTTTAAACAAACTGAAAAAACACATAGGGGATGTGATTGAAATAAAGAAGGAACGAATGGATAGAAAAAATCGAGCTAAAAATAAAGCAATCGAAAGTGTTTCGTGTCTGCGAGCAATATTTCGAATCTAATGAACTCAATCTTGGGAAAAATAAATTTCGAAAAAAAAATAAATATAACAGGAAATAAAAAATAGTATGCGTAAATGAATAATAAAATTTAAAGAAAGAGAAATTTGGGTTTCGTGATTATTTAATTATGAAATTAAATTAGTAAAATGGAGAGAATTCACAATTTAATTCGTTTTCGTGAATAAAAAAAAATAATAGATTTATGTGATTTTCTAATATTCTAGTGAAATACAGTTAAATAATTTAAAAATTATTAATTAGTAATTTTTAATTGAAATGGATTTAAGAAAATAAAAATTGAGAATTT